TATATACAGGGTGTTCTAGGTTTTAATGGCCAAACGTTGTCAGTATATTCCATGGGTCGAAATAAAAAAAAACGTTATACAAACATAGGTTTTTTAGAGCTTCGTTAAAAAGTTACTGCGGTAATACGAAATGAAGGAAACAATAGCAGACTCGCGGTTACTGCGATGTAAGACATATTTGCGCGATATTTACAAGATCGCGTAATGAATTGATACAAGAAATCAACGATGCGTTTACTGAAATAAAACAAAATAATAACGAAATTCGCAGAGTAATAAATTCTGTTATCTGATGTTTTCTGATGTCAATCTTGCATTGCCATAAATGGTTGACATTTTTGAGATGGAGTATTAGTTGCTTCTTGTGTAAACAGAGTAAACGTAAATATTGCTGATCTACTTCTGTATTACATCGCAATAACCGCGAGTCTGCTATTGTTCCCTTCATGTTGTATTATTCTCATAACCTTTTAACGAAGCTCTAAAAGTCGTTCACGATAGCGCGCGGGTGAATCTCTGTTCGTCCGTCCCTGAGTGCGGGCTCTACGCGCGCTCTGATTGGCCAGTGTTTTTCGTTAGTAATTCGAAAACGAAGCTTCAAACTACATTTTGGAAAAGGAAAAAGTTGTTCAGAGTCACCTCAGCTACCCCCCATTTCCGAATGTTCGAAGAGTTACGGGCCACCCTGTATAAATAATATGCGACAGTGAGGAACACATGGTGGCCCGACTCCCGGTTTTTCGCAATTTTACGACCTTCCATGACAGGAAATGACTTTGTTCGCACAAAATTCGCAAAAAATTAAACTGACTTTGAAATCTCCCCCACCACACCCGGTATAAAAAAAATATTTATACCACATAATTTTCCCCCTCGTACCACACAACTTTTGTTAAAACATTGTTTTCCTAACATCACTTCCTTAAAAGATATTTCGCTCTATTGAGATAAAACAGACACCCTGTATATATGTACAATACCTTTTTGAGAAAAACCATTTTAAATTCGATTCAGCTATATTATATTTAGTTTTACAACCCAATGATTTAATAAATAAAATTTTCCAAGGTAGTCTGAGAGTTTCAATGCTTAAAGCACATGTTTCCCAAAAGGTGATTTGTTTTAGAAATTTTTTCCTGGGAAGGTTCAATCGGAAAGAATTTTTGGTATATGATTATAGGGTGTTCAAAGTATCGTGTAGTATTTCTTGTTTTTAAAACAAATGTATAAGAATCGTTAAATCGTATAATAATTTCGGTTCGAATATAACGGGTGCCCTAATATAGTACTTATGAACAGCAACGTATATGTGACGCTGATAGTGAACGTGTTAATACACCATGGGAAAAACGATTATCTATATGTCATCGTCTTATTTTCAGGGTGGATTCGCGAAGGTTTTCTTGATGACCGATGTTAGTAATGGAAACGAATACGCTTGCAAGATCATTCGGAAGAATCGAATGCAAAAGATTCACATGCAAAAGGTATGTATACATTCGCTGTCTTTTTAATTGTTGGATTATAAAGAGAAATGAGTATGTGTCTGTGTAATAGTAACGGCAAAAATAATCAACATACTGAGACAGATTAATATAAATATATATATATAGAAATAACATAGTAACCATCTGTTTAGTATGGGTGACGCTGATATGTTTTTTTTTCTCTGCGTCTTGCCGATGTTTTGTTTGATTGATTGCATAGCGACGTGCCTTCCTCGCGTATCAGAATAAAGAAGATTTATAATTAAAACAATATCTTTTATTTATTACCATAATTCTAACAG